CCGCAAGATTTTCTTCTTTGACTCGTTCTGATCTTTTACGAACATATAAACTCCATGTTGTTTTTAAGACAAACTTCATGTCGTTTACAAAAACATCATGCTGTTTTTTATTTAAAAACGGCAAAGCGTTGAGCTTAATTTGGTCCAAAAATATAACTTCTTATCGGGCCTAAGGCCCTCCAATAAAGCCCACGCCCAAGCCCAATCCCACGCCCACGCCCACGCCCACGTCCACGCCCAAGCCCACACCGACACCCACACCCACACCCAAGCCCACGCCCACACCCACGCCCAGGCCGGACGGCGGCAGCGGCGCGCGCGTGGGGAGTCCTCTCTACCACTGAGCTGTTTAACCCATGGTGTCATGGGAGCATATATATATACCTCATTTCCTCTCTAGTTCCTCGATGTGGGATGTTTGTTAATTTTGACACTTAGACAAAATTACAGTGTTTATGAAACACTATGCTACCAACTTCATTGCATCATTTCTTATTCAATTTTGATCTGTTTTTAAAGTGTGAATATACATTGTTGTAGTACTCATTACAAGCTTTCCAACAAGCTGATGATCTGACCGGAACGACCATCGTTTTGGCTGGAAAAGTCGCCGGAAAATCAAAAAAGATCAGCTTTTAAAAACAGAGATCCAACAGTTAGATTTAGATCCTCTCTTTTTTTTTTGTGCGAAGCTAGGTCTAAAAATACGGGGGAATGGACAGAATCCTTCTTAGGTTCTTCGCCACCGGCCTTGACGATTGGAGCATGTCTTCGTCGTTTGTTTGTATCTCTGTCGTCGGGATCCAGCCGGAGGGAAAGATGAGATGAAGTGATTACCAGATCTGTTGGGTCTAACTTGGGCTTTTTTTTCCTCAAAAGTTATTATCTTTAAGCCCAAACACCAAGCTTGTTGTTGGTGATGACGGAATGAAACTCTGCCGAAAGTGAGAAGCGGCGACTGTAGAGGCTTTCACAATAAAGCTTGTTCTTTTATTTGAGACCACCAGAATGGAAGAGGAAAGAGTCAATCTTTATTCTTGATTTTTTTTTAATTCTTTTTTTACTGGATCTAGGTTTCTTTCCAAGTTGATATGCTTTGAAGATTATTCTTCTTGGCCCCCTCCTTCAAGCGCCAACTATTTGAACCGAAAACGGTGTGTTTGTTGAATTCATACAATAAAAGATCTAAGGATTAGATCTTTGAGACTTAGAAGAAATCTCAATGAATTCAAATGAGAAAAAGAACATCCAAGGGATTTTATATGATTTGATCAAAGATTGCATTACAAGTATGATTTGATATGTAAAGTAAATCTAAAATCTATAAAATCTTTGTAAGGATGTGTTCTAGATCAAAAGAAGAGAAAAAAGATCCCAAACAAGAAGGGGTTGCCTCCTTGAAACCTAGGGCTCCCTACTAATATGAGTCTTATTCATTATCTAATGGGCCTTGTGGAGGATGTAAATTCACCCCCAACAGATAATAGAACACAAACAACAAAGGATCCAAGAAGTAGACCTATACTGCTATACATTGTATTGTACATGCACACTTTCTTATAGTACTGCATTATGAATCAACTTGGAAGGATAACTAAACCATTAACAAGTCCTAATCTCCCCATAAACACATATCTTTCAAAGGCAACATACAAAAACACAATCAGCCTTATTTAAATACACCAAAAACATAATAAAGGAATTCAACCAAAAAAGTCGCAGATTACCATTCTACCAATCTCTAAAAACCTAAACACACATAGACCATTAATTAACCTCAAATGCCAAGTGAAGACGCATACACCAAACTCAAAACATAACTGCTAATTGTAACAAATACACAAACCTTGTACAGATCTTCTTAACCAAAATAAACCATATGTAACACACTTACATATTTTGTTCAGTTACAAGAATACATAATACATATTATATATACATATATACAACTATACAAATACAACCAACAAAACGGCAATACACACAGAACTTTGTATCTCGGACAAAAATACTTGACAGAAGTATTTGTCTCCACACATTTAAGATCCCTTGATACTAAATTTTCTGCTACTGAATCATAACCCATATATCATTTTTGATCTGTTGGGTATTAAACACATCTTTAGAATCTTTGGTAAAATTAATAAGATCTCGCGCAAATCACTATCTAACTACAGAGTAACCTCTTTAAATTAATACTTTATAAATTAATATACACTAAATCAGTACTACTAAAAGAGAAGAAGTTTTTAAAAATATACATATACAAGTTGTTTAGACCCTTTCATTTAACTTATCTTTTTTGGTCTTACCTTAGAGCATCTCCAAAAGACACTCTATAACACTAAATATAGAGTTTTTGGCTCTCCAAAAAGAAACTTCAAAACTTCAAATTTGAAGTTTTGAGGAGTGAAACTTCATATTTGAAGTTTCAATTCTCAAAACTTCAAATTTGAAGTTTCATCTTTTTATTTGCATTTTGATCCTTACAAGTAATTATATATTATATTTATGATTTTTAAATATTTTCTCGTTTAACATTTTAATCCTTCAAATTTTTAAATTTTATAAATATTTCAGATTTGTTTTTATAGACTTAAGTTTTATACATAAAACTTTTAAATACAATTTATATTATTTTAAACCTAAAATTAGACTTTAGAAATATTACAAAAGAAACTTAAAAAAACTTTTTAAAAAGGTACATGAAAAGCATAGTTATTACATAAATTTAAATATTACAACAATATTAATAGTATGGTAAATTTTCTCTAAAACCTTCAAAATCTCCAAAATATTATCCAAATAAGTATTATGTAACTGAAGATGGAGCATTATGGAAATAATTTTATGAAATAATGTGATAGATATTTTGTTTGTAGTTTATTATTTAGTTATGTATTTCTATTTACAGTTTTATATTTTAGAGTAAATATTTTTTAATTAATATTATTGTTATGTTTTTCATATATGTGCTAGTTATTTATAAAAAATGAATTTATATTAATTATGACAAATATAAGGACCATAGAGTAAAATACAAATAGTTTTAAAGTTAGTTTTGAAGTTTTGCTTTTGGAGAAGAACACAATGAAACTTTAAAAATAGAGTTTGTAAAACTCTAAAATAGAGTGTCTTTTTGGAGATGCTCTTATATGTTGTAACAATACTTTTTTCAATATCACAGATTTATCCGATTTTTACTCCTTTCACTAACAATACAATAGTATTAATTAATATTATTGTTATCGGAAGTACATGAAATCAAATTATAGAAATTGGGCCCCTCATATGCTTTTTCTATGCATGCAACCCGTCCATACCCGATTTAGTACTATATATATATATATGTAATCTTTGCATGGACTTTTTAACAATACAATCATTCAAATAAAATAAAGTTCAAAATCTATTTAACTCTATTTTGTGTCTCATTGTAGTGATTGTTAATCAATAAATTTATAGACTATATTTTATACTCAGGATCTACACTATTTAGATATTAATTAATATGAGATAGCATATAACATGAAACATATTGTACCATGTCATCTTACATTATATAGTTTTAAATATAACAAAATAAATTTGATAAAAACCTTTTCGCAAAGCATATGTTAAATATATATATATATATATATATATACTAGGTTAACTTAATTTTTCTATAAGTATTATAATAAAAAAATAATAAGAAAGTTTAACAACTAGTAAAAACCCAACAAATATGTTTTAATGAATTAGCTAAAACATTTACCAAATAAATCTTAAGCCATGTAAATTTAACAAATGTAACTTTATAAAATACACACAAATATAATGAGAAAGTAGGTTTGCATATTTAGGTACTCGGATCGGTTTCTTTCTATCTGGGTTTTTTTGTTCCTTAATATTTGGACCCAAATAGATATGAAATTTTTGATTCGGGTTTAGGTTGGTTTCTTTCTATATCTGGGTCGTTTCGAAATCACAATTAAAATACATGTAGAATACATGTATATTTGGGTATGTAGCAGATCTAGGTCGGTTCAGATATTTAAAATCTGAAAAGATTAAAAGTATCCGTAAACCTGAAAATAAAAAATATCTGAACTCAACAAATACCCAGAGTATATTTAAATACTCGAAAAAGATATGAAATTCTTCATGAAATATAACTTTAGAAATCGAAAACACCCAAACTTTTATCTGAATAACCCAATATATTTTAAATTTTTTAAATTTTACTTAAAATATGAAAGTATAACTGAAAACACAAACTCAAAACAGAAAAAGAATATATGTAATACCAAAAAAAAATATCGGAAATATAAATATACCTAATATATACAAAACATTTCACGTACTTTGGGTATCCGACCGAATCTTGGGTAGGATCCATACCGAACCAAGATTCGATGGTTCAAAAAAATACCCAATACGTACATTTCTTTGGATCCAGAGTCAATCATTTTTTTGGATTCTGGTAAATGCCTAGCTTAAAAGAGAGAGTTATATAACATGTACATACAAAATCTCGAATAAATTAATTCAAAAATTATATAATTTTAAACAGATTTTCGTCTTCGATACAGTACATATTTGTACTATAATAATATACAACAATCCCAAAATACTAAGTTATATCAAAATTTATAATCCGAAAAAATTTGTGTGTTTTTAAGTGCGGATCAAAATCTAATATCTTTTTAAAATAATATAATTTTATTGTCTTAAATTGAGTTTTTAATTCAGTTAATATATATATAAATAAGAATCTCTTTAAATTAATAAAAAATTATAGTTTTGTTGTCGTTGCAATATTATTAATTTATAGAGGTTTGCTTCTAGTACGATGTTATAAAACTTAATGACCAAAAATCCAAGCATAAAAACGCCCAATTCAATAGCCCAGCGAAGTGAATCTCAATGTGTTAAAGGTAAATAAAAATAGTTTAGTGGGACCCACTAAACCCCCCCCCCCCCAAGTTAAAAATTCAAGGAATCAAAACGCACAAACTAGCCTCCGTTCCAATTATTCCACGAAACACCGCGTTTTTGTTTACATTTCTTCTCCTCCTTCTTCCTCTCTCTCTCTTCGCCGTCAGGTCTTACCCATTCTTCGGTCTTCACTCCCGCGGTTTTCTTTGCTTCTTGATTTTATCGGGAAAGTCTGCAGGAAAATTTCGAAACTCGGTAAGAGAGGTGCGGGTTTTAAAGTCGTACTCAAAAACTTGTAAATTTGCGTATGGATTTAGCTGGCTATGGATAGAATTATAGCTCGTGTGAAGAAATCGTCGGCTAGGGGAGGGGATAAAACGCCGACGAGGCGATTAGAGCGCCGTGACGCCTTGAAGCATATCAATTATGACGCAGCGTCGATATCTACTTGGTCAGCTGAAGATCTCTCGGCTTCGACTTCTTCTCTGGTGACGCGCTCTCTGGAGTTCCCAGATCGAACCAGTTTCCGAATCTTCGGAGGTGGAGATGGAGAAATGGATCGGATTTACAAGTCTCTTGGTTTGTCTGGTCCTGATGATTTGGCTATTTCTTTTGACGCCTGGGAAGCTTGCAAGAAGCGTTCGTCCTCAGATGTTATCAACAGGTTCAAGTCTTTCGAGCTGGATCTTCACAATTTGAGTGAAGCAGCTCCTAGTGGTGATGCTGTTAATTCTTCCGATACAGATAATAATAGTACTGAATTGACTCAGTCCGAGTCGAGCAAGTTTGGGAGTTTTAGGAATTTGGCGGGTAAGGTTGCACTTGATACTGGTACTGAAGTGAACAAGCGTGGTCTTGAGCGAGCACCCACGATTACGTTAGAGTCGAGTCTTATTCTGAATCACAGTGATGTTGCTGATGGTGGTACTGAAGAGAACACGCGTGGTCTTGAGCGAGCACCGACCATTACTGTAAAGTCTAGAGGTTATCTCGTTCCGAATTACAGTGATGTTGGTGGTACAGGAGAAAACAAGCTTGGTCTTGAGCGAACACCGACCATTACTGTAAAATCGAGAGGTTATCTTGTTCCAAATCACAGTGATGTTGTGGCTGATGTTACTGGTTGTGGTGGTATAAAGGGAGTAAGACCACCGGTGCTTAAGCCTCCTCCGGCGAAACGACCTCCTATTGATCATCAAGGATCATCTTGGGATTTCCTTACGCATTTCGCTCTAGAGGATGGAATAGTTAGGCCGCCAAGTTCCTCTTCTTCTTCTTCCAACAATGGAGAGGAAGCTCTGGAAGAGGAAGTGGAAAGAGATACGGAAGGCGAAGCGAGGTTTCTTGAGTCCGTGGATACAGCTGATGAGGCATGCTCGTTCACTACGAACGAAGGTGGTGACTCCTCAAGCACTGTATCCAATACTTCGCCCATTTATGCAAACGGTGGATCTATTATCACGTCGTGGCAGAAGGGTGGACTTCTGGGACGAGGATCATTTGGCTCCGTTTATGAAGGCATTTCAGGGTATGTCTTACTGGTTACTAATGTCTCTTGAACTTGAAGTCAGGTTCTTAGATGCTTTAGCAGCAGATCCATAGATACTTTTTGTTAAATGTTTATGTTAAATATAGGGATGGGGACTTCTTTGCTGTCAAGGAAGTTTCACTACTTGAACAGGGAAGTCAGGCACAAGAATGCATACAACAACTTGAGGGGGTGAGATATACATGGTTTATGATCGGTAGAGCTGGGAATTTTTATTTTTTTGAAAAATATACTAAAATTCTTTATAAATAAATACTTTTTTTTTAAATATCAAATATTTTTAAAAAATCAAAAATTTAACTACAAATATAATATTTATATTAATTTTTAGAAAAATAAAATAAAATAACTATTTATATTATTTAATAATTATCTGCGGGTCAACAGGTTACCCGCATAGCTTATACGTTTGTAGCATTGTTTCATTGATATGGCGAAAGCTGGCTGTTAATACTCCACGTTTTCATTTTCTACAGGAGATTGCACTACTTAGTCAGCTTCAGCATCAGAACATCGTAAGATATCGTGGCACTGCCAAGGTATGATTCCGTTCTGGCCTTCCTGGTCCCAGATGCAGTTTCCAGTGCATTTCTTTGCTCAATCAATAACTTGTAATCTATTGTTGTTTGCAGGATGGGTCGAATTTGTACATCTTTCTTGAACTTGTAACCCAGGGGTCTCTTTCAAAGCTCTACCAAAGATACCAGCTTAGGGACTCTGTAGTCTCCGTGTACACTAGACAAATTCTTGATGGTTTGAAGTACCTCCACGACAAAGGTTTTATCCACAGGTTAGACTAGTAGAAACACTTTTCTTTTGTCTTTCCGTAAACTCTGTTGTGATACCTGTCCTTGTCTTTCGTAAGCCTCTGATTGCGCCATTTCCTGCGTCTCTTTTTTTTTCTCGTCTGATGTGACATAGGGACATCAAATGTGCAAACATATTGGTGGACGCCAGCGGAGCTGTCAAGCTTGCAGATTTTGGATTAGCAAAGGTTCTTTTTCTATAGATCTGTATAGTTTTTGCTCTAATGTAATAAACTCGGTACATGGCTTACCACCCCTTTTGTTGATGCTTATGTCAATTTTGTTATTTAGGTTTCAAAATTGAACGACATTAAGTCCTGCAAGGGAACCCCATTCTGGATGGCTCCAGAGGTATTATTGTTTTGGAAGATTATCAAGTCCCTTTTACTCTTTTGATTATGTGAATACAATGATAGAGAAATCTATCACACATATGAACATAAATGGTTTGATCTTTAACTCGTTATTGATGTATAACATTGGTTGCTAAGACCTATTTTGCCGCATATGGAGTAACCTGGGCTTGCTAACCCCCGTTATGCGTCCTTTCAAGTGCTTGCTTAATTTGAACTAGTTTAAATTTCTATTTATTTTCAGTTTATGGCGTTTATAAACTGCAAGTAGTAATCATATGCTAACAGATATGTGGATTCATTTTCACTTACAAAAGGGTTATTCTAAATTGAAAATAATAATTTGATCAGGTTATTAACCCCAAGCGTACTGATGGGTATGGAAGTTCAGCTGATATATGGAGCCTTGGGTGCACAGTGCTGGAAATGCTTACTGGTCAGATCCCCTACTGCGATCTAGAAAACCCCGTAAGTATTCATAACCTTCTTTATATAAAATTGGACTATATGTGTTTTTGTGAAAACAAAATCGTGGACAACGCAGTTAGCTAGTTTAAAATTCAAGTCTCTTCAGTGTTTGTGCTCTACACCTTTTATTCTGAAAGTTCATTTTTAATTTCTTGTATGGGGGTTTCTCGCAAAATTTAGAGTATGCTAGTCCACAAAAATAAAAGAATTGATGTCAGAATTTGTGTAAACGCTCAGGTCCAAGCCCTGTTTAGGATCGGAAGGGGTGTTCTTCCGGACATACCTGATACATTATCCCTCGATGGCCGTGATTTCATAACTAAATGTCTCAAAGTGGACCCGGAAGAGCGGCCAACTGCGGCTGAGCTGCTAAACCATCCATTTGTGAGAAGGCCCTTAGCATCCTCGAGCTCAGGCTCAGGCTCAGGCTTGGGATTGGGATCAGCATCTCCGCATGTCCATAGACGAGACTAAAGAGCTTTGGAGTCTAACATTGATGGTTTAATGTGTTATGAGAGCAGCGGTAAGCAGAAGATTTGTGAAAGATGAGACCCCGTAAAAACTAGAAACTATTAGGGAAACACGAGATACGATTCTTCAACACACGTCCGGTTCAGTTAGGCAGCAAGCTAAACTGGCTGGAGGAGACATATCCTTTAGGTTCGTTACTGGCTCATTAGTTGGTTATTTGTGGTAAGTTGTATTATGTTGGCCGTAATTTGACAGCTTGAGATCCATATTCTTCTAGGAAAATGATAAAATAGAGTGTCGATCTTGGTGTTTTGAGTGTACAGGGTTTGTAAGTTTTTTAAAAATGTAATGTATGAGCTTTTTAAAAATATTGTTGTATTTAAATACATATTTTGTTTTCAATAACATTTTTTTACATTAATTAGGGATGGACATTTGAGTATCATTTATTTTGGTTAGATTCTGTTTGGTTTAGATATTTGTGGTTTAATTCTAATCTTTGCAGGTTTGGATTGGGTTTAGGTTTGGATAGCTAATTTATTTTTATTTTTTTAAGATTAAATTTATATATACTCTAAATTTTTCAAAATGTAAAAGTAAAAATAATATAAAACATATAAATTTGAAAGTGAATAGCAAAATACTTAAACTTAACATAAAATTGGTTTATCTTAAATATGTGGACAAAAAAATCAATAAATATTTCAAATATTTTAAGTATTAGGAGTATTGTTTAGCTATTTTAAAAATGTACATTTAACTATTTTATATATTTCTAAGTATTTTGGAAAAAATTTTAAAATCTCATGTATTTTGTATATTCTTAGATGTTAAATTTAAAAATAATTAATATATTTAAGTATATAAATCTGGTTCTGGTATATTTTGATACCCGAAATATTTTGATTTAGTTTGGTTCTTTAGATACCAAAATTTCGAATCCGTTTGGATATCTAATCAATTTTGGTTAAAAATTTGTACTACTTTTTGAATTAGATTTGGTACGGTTATCTGGATTCAATTTTTTTGCTCAACCATATATTTTTTGTTGTAACAAAAATTTAAATGAAAAGGATGATGGTTCATATTGATTTTGGGTATGCAATAATTTTTAAACAAAACACTCTATTATACGTGATCCATTTAGTTAATCATTATAAACTGTTTAAGATCCACTAGAAAAAAGATTGGCTGAACTAAAAAAACGTTATCATTGATCTCAAAATTTTCAATGTGAGATTTTTACAATTTTTAGTAAATTATGGTCGTTTTAAAAAAATTCAAAATATAACATATAAGAAAAAATCTAATTTTTTTTATTATATGATTAATGTGATTGTTTAATTTTTATTTAATAATATAAAATTAAATAAAAAATAAAGAGGATAAAAATTGTTATCAAATCTTTATTATTCATAAACATTAATTGTAATATATGTTAATCATATTAGGTAATTCCGTAGTTTTTATCTAAGGAAAGAATATGAAATATTATTTTGTATACTACTAATTTAATATGATAGTTAGTATAATAAAAATATAACATATTTCTTTAAGAGTTATGAAAGTCATTCTCATTGTGACACGTGACTAGCAAATTTTTTTTTTGAGCAAAAGCTACAAAAAAATGTTGTAATGCTCGAGGATTAATATATAGGGGATTTAAACTACTAATCAAAAATATTATATGTTAAATTTTTAAATGTTTTATTAATTTATAGTCATTTTTAAAAATTTCAAATATAACATATATCAAAAAAATCTATTTTTTGTTATATAGTTAATGTTATTCTTTAAATTATTTTCACATATAAGTTAATTAAAAAAAATAGAGGTTATAATTTTTTTTTATCAAATCTTCATATTCGAATAATTATTTATCATATATATATATATATATATATATATAAAACATATTAGGTAATTTCGTAAATTTTATTTAAGGAAATCATGAATAGCATTAATGTTAATTTTATGTTTAGTTTAATAAAAAGTATATTATATGTTTATATTGACCAAGGTTTGAGAACTCGTTAGGTGCTAGTCAGGCGTTCGGGTTGGGCCTAGCGCCTAAACAACAAATCGGAGATTAATCGGGGCCTTGTTCTTACATTTTTATTATATTAATATTCATATATATGTTAGCATATGCGATACTCACTACAAGAAATGTTGGTATTAATAGCAGAGTCGGATAGCGTTTTTTTTATTATGCTATAGTAGACATACATCTTATTTTTTGATAGCGTTTTTAAAAAATATAAACGCTATATTTAGTTGGCCCGATTTTAATTCCCGAAATACTTTTAGAAACGTAGTATATATAGCACTCTCAATTTTAAAATGATATGCATAATTGATGCAAAAAATAATTCATTTTCCCGCAAAATACTTAGTGAAAAAACAAGTGTCTATTTTTTTTCATTTCCCCTCTCATTAGTTTTTCAATTTCCCTCTCATTCCATTTAATATCTCAAACCTCCAAAAAATTTGATTTATATAAATAAAATTAGTTAAACAATACATTATAATTTCTAAAATAATTTTAAAAAATAGTTTTGTATTGATTAATTTTCTAACATTGATTGCTTTCAATCCAAAGGTTACAAGTTAATCTTCAACCCCTCTCATGATTACGATCCTTGAATTGTTAAATCTAACCAAAAGGATATAAGTGTATATTTACTTATTATTGATAAAACATTTAAGTCTATCTTGGTCTTTTTTATTTTAATGTCTATATTTGTGATTAAAACTTTTTTTAAGTATATCTTAAAAAAAAATTTCTTTAATTTATATTTAATAATATATATGTATATTTTATCTTTTGGTTAAATTATATTAAATCAGATTCTATACTATTAAGAGAAAATTTTGTTAGATATATAATTATCAAAATATAAACTAAATAACATTTCTAAAATTTATAGATGTTATAAATAAAGCTAATGGTATTGAGATTAGAAAATTTTAATTTAAAAAAAAAACTGCATTAAATTTTTTAAAAAAGAATTTATTAATAAAAAATATATAATTATAAAAATACACTATTCAATATTTGTAATATTATTATATTTATATTTCTACTATTATATTATTTATTATCTTAATGATTATTTATGAGTTCTTTTTCTTATCATTATTTTAATACAAATGTTTATTTAATCAAACAGAAAAAGTAATATAAAATTATTTTTGTTTATTTTAAATTATATTTAAGAATATGCATGTATATATTTAAAATTATAATCTTAGAGAATTTTTTTATCTATTTATTTTAATTAAATAAATTTGTAGAAAATTTTATAATTATCAAAAGTTAAAATTAGAAAATATTTATTAAATTTTTAAATATATAAGAAATTAATAATTTACAATTAAAATTTTTAATAATTTTCAAAAAATGTATACATTTTTGAAATTTTTGTAATAAAATTGTATAGTTTTAAAATATATAATTAAATGGTATTTTCGAAATTTTTAATGCCATATTGGTATATATTTATTTTAATGATGATTTATTAGTTATTACCATATTTTAAAAATATTTCCAAAAATATAAATCGACATTAAATGTAATATATTAGTTGTTACCATATTCTATAAAGTTTTCCAAAAATATATATCAACATTAAATGCAATTGTCCATGTCATATTTAATCATATGTCATGTCATCAATTCTAATAGACATGTCATCATTTTTTTTGTGAAACTGATTCTAGAGAAGACATGTGGCAAAATCACTTCACAAATAATGTATAGGGGATTATGTTTTTGTTTAATGTGTTTGAATTAGTTTTTTTTATACGTACTAGTTTAATTTTATAAAATTGACTTTATTTGTCAACTGATTTTAATTTATTTTCAAAATAAAAATATTAAATTAAATTTGTCATAAACGAAATGAAACAATTACATTTTAAAAATGCAATGAAAAATTCAAATATTGCTATTGATAGAACACTACAATAGTAGTTAAATATGCTATACTAAAATTTAAAAACTGCTATAATAAAAATGTTATAATAACATTTTAGAGTCGCTATTGAAAAAATTACAATTGCATAAACAAAACCGCTATAGTAAAATTTAAAAACTGCTATAATAAAAATGTTATAATAATATTTTAGAGTCGCTATTAAAAAAATTACAATTGCATAAACAAAACCGCTATTACTAAAATAATATTAATATCGGATAACAAAACCGTTATCTAATGGACCAGACCTATTATCGCGAGCGATATTGGAGCGATTTCTACAACGCTATGGTATCGTATGATAGCGTTTTACGGGTGCTATTAAAAAACCCTTATCTCTTGTAGTGACTTAATGATGAGATTGTTGTCTCCTAGTGGTTCATGCCGTTTATCTTACACTGTGCAACCCGGTTTGAATCTCGCCTACGCAATTTTACTATTTTCGCTTTATTTACCTGGGAATGGAGAAAGTCCCACATCGGATACAGATGAAAAAAGAAGAAAAGTCTGATTCTATATATAGTTCTACAACAACACGCAAAAGACAACAATATTAGTAGAGATATTTGGGCTTTTGGTTAAAGGCCCATAAATATTTATATATAGTTAATATTTTGAGGTTATATGGACTGATTAATCGTGGTAAAGGCCGATTAATTGGTCAAATGAACCGATTAATTGGTTAAATGGGCCGATTAATTGGTGACCGATTTTTTAACCCGATTTTGGTAAAATCGCGGTGGGCAGGGTCCGAGTAGCGGTTAGTCGAGCGCCTAGGCGGCTAGGCGCCCGAGTTTTAGAACATAGATATTGACCAACATTTTTTCTAGTAAATTTGAGATGTGATTACCAAAACATATTATAATGTTTTTCAATTAATATATGGGATTGGTTTTTGATAGTTTTTGTGTATTGTAACTGTGTGCACATCACGTGTCCCGGTGTGCTGGTTGGTTTTATCTCTAATTATCGCCCTTTGAGTCTATTGTTTATTGGGAGAATCGCATAAAAAAACATTTAAAGTGATACTTATTAGCACTTTAAACCTTAAAGTTTTTTCACTAGCACTTTAAATCTTCAAATTGACATTTGTATCACAAAAAACCTTGAACTTAAAAATATGACCTATTGAACAGGTAAAACATGTAATTTATCAAAAAAAAAAATAGAAAAATAAAAATTTAATATATAATAAAAGTAAATAAATAAAAATCAGTTAAACTTCCAAAAAAATAAAGAAAATTTCATAACATAAATAAAAATTTATTAAAAAAATAACTTGAAATACCAAAAATTAAAAAAAAAATCTGAAATTAAACAAAAATTAAAGAAAATTAAAGAAAATTTAACAAAAATAAATAAAATCAAAAACTAAATTAGATTTTCAAAAAAATTGACGAAAATTTCAGAGCATAAAGAAACATTTAAAAAAAGAATTGAAAACTGTTTGAAACCATCATCATAAATAGTGATATATTTGAAATTTTTATTCTCAACTACAATATATCAGATTTTTGAAAATTAAAATATTGTAATTTTTATGAAATTTTCCAATAAAATTGACATATCATTGTTGACAATAAAAATTTCAAACATAGCACTGTTGAAGTTGATGGTTTCAAATAGTTAAAAAAATAATCTTGTAATTTTCTAAAAACTATTTTGAACTTTTGAGTTTTCAATTTTGTGATTTTTTTTTAATTTTTGTTTAATTTTCTGAATTTCACTTAATTTTTGGTATTTCAATTTCTTTTTTTTTTATAAATTTTTCTTTCTGTTCTGAATTTTTCTTTAAATTTTTTGAAAATTAAATTGATTTTGATTTATTTATTTTGTGCTTATTAATTTTATTTATATTTATTAAAATATTTATTTCTCGGAAAAACCTAAATAAAATAGGTAATTTATTAAATATATATTTTTAAAATTTTTGTTTATGTTCTGATTTTTTTATTTAAGTTTTTGGAAATGTAATTTAGTTCTTGGTTTTTATTTATTTTTTGTTCAATTTGTGATTTTTTTTTATTTTTTTTTAAAAAAAATTAGAATTTCATTTAATTTTTGGTATTTCAAATTATATTTTCATAAATTTTTCTTTATGTTCTGATTTCTTTTTTTTTGAAAATTTACTTAATTTTTATTTTTTAACATTTTTAAATTTTTTTTTTTTTTAAACCTGATAAATTACCTGTTTTACTTGTTCAACAGGTTAGATTTTCAAGTTCAAGATTTTTTGTGACACAAATGTCACTTTGAAGTTTTAAAGTACTAATGAAAAAATTTCAAGTTTTAAATTGCTAACAAATTTCACTTTGAAGGTTTTATGCGCTTTTCCTATTGTTTATTTAAAACTGTGTGCACATCACGTGTCCGGTCTTAGATTTTCGTCTAAGGCACCTTTATTGAAGTCTATTATTCAATTAGGTTCTTACAACATTGCTTCCTTGAGTGCATGCGATTGATGTCTACTTATTAAACCAAAAGTCACTTAAAACCTTTTAAAAAAAATTGTCTTTATTTAACTGGTAAATGATTTTTTTTTTAATTAAATTATAAGTAATTTAAGTGATTTAAACTGACATATCATTCGTATAAAAACTTATTATATTAATTTGATTGGTAAATACTTTTTTAATATTTATTTATTTCAATTAAATATGAAAATGAAATTCTAAAACTAATTTATGAATTGGGACAATGATGATTGGAAAAATGGTATTCGCAAATATGTTTCGGGAACCATAGAAAATGGATTTTTTTCTGTTAGTTGAACATTCTTATGTAGCTGATTCTTTAAAAGACAAAAAAAACTAATGTGGGAAAGTAATCTGTTGGTGTCAAAATCTGTCACGACGGAATCAATCGCTAAAAGTTTCCGTAAAAATAAAAATACGTTTTATAAAACTCGATAAGTCGTTTTATAAAACTCCATAAGTCGTTTTATAAAACTCGATAAGTCGTTTTATAAAATTCGAGAAATCGTTTTATAAAACTCGAGTAATCGTTTTATCAAAACTCAAGAAGTCGTTTTAGAAAACTCGAGAAATCGTTTTATAAAACTCGAGAAGTCGTTTTATAAAACTCGAGAAGTCGTTTTATAAAACTCGAGAAGTCGTTTTATAAAACTCGAGAAGTCGTTTTATAAAAATCGAGAAGTCGTTTTATAAAACTCGATAAGTCGTTTTATAAAACTCGATAAGTCGTTTTATAAAACTTGAGAAGTTGTTTTATAAAACTCGAGAAGTCGTTTTATAAAACTCGATAAGTCGTTTTATAAAACTCGATAATTCGTTTTATAAAACTCGAAAAGTCGTTTTATATAACTCAAGAAGTCGTTTTATAAATCCAAAAGAGATTTCCGAACAAAGGAAATCCGCGGAAAACTCGGAAGATCGTTATCTCGGAAGAAAAAAACAAACGTCGATTACATGATCATCCGAGTTAAGCACAAAACCGAGAAATCATGTGAAAACTCTAATAAATCATGTGAAAATTCTAATAAATTACAATTATAAATATTTTTTGGTAACCTTTATTATAGTTTAGTATCTTTAACGGAATTTCAGTTAACTTTCTTAAGATCCAAAAATTATACAAGACCTATATTACGGTAACCTTTATTTATAGTTTGGTATATATTGGAAACATGCTTATAATTATTGATCAAATTTTGAATATATCATAATTTTTCTACATTAGGTAATAATAATAAATTATTTATCATTTTTGAATAGTGACTTGCATTTAGGTTTAATTAGCAAAAAAATATTATTAGAATATTTCAAAAGTGATTAAGATGTGCCTAGACCTTTACGCACAACACTATATATTAGCCTCTATACTATTGTAATACACCACTAGAAACAAAATAAAACGCAAAACATTTTTAAACCAAAAATGAGTACTATGAACGGCATTGTATATTAATATTATTGTGGTTCGTTACGCTTTCATAATACTGTTAATAAGAGGTTTAAATTCTTTAAATTCCAGCTGATATAAATAATATTAACATATTTATGCACTCCTGCGCAAGACACATATATCTACTTAGTCTTATATAATAAATTAGACTTTTGTCACTTTTCCATAGGACAAATTAGGACACGTGTCACCACATTAAATGTCCTCTGATTGGGGCTTAAAGGCTTTTATTTTGTTTTCGTTATGTTAACTATTTTTCAGTTATTAGATTTGGGCTTAATGTCTCCAGGTCCAATTACCTTATGTTTTAGCAGCGAAAAAATACACTGTCTAGATTATATTGCCTTCGTCATTGTTCTCATGGAAGCGGCAGCGACGAGCATCCTGTAACGTTTTCCATTAAATTTCTTCTTCAATCCTAGCATTAACACTCCATCCCACTCTCCCCACTATCTTCTATTAAATCAACATGAGCCTCTTCGTTTGTAACCGGCCAAGGTCACCTCCTATAAATTGGCATGATTCACTACAAGAAAAATTGCTTTTATTAGCGGATGAAAAACGCTATTTAACGATATGATAGCGGTTTATGAAACGATGTATCATCGCCCGTTATAGTAGGTCAGACACATGAGATAACAGTTTTTGGTGATGTTATCTTATTGTTATATATTATATCGTTCTTTTGTATGCAATTAAATATTTTTAATACCATGTTTTCTTTGTTATTATTTACATTAAATTTCTTTATATTAAAAATATTTTTTGTTTATTATTTTAAAATAAAAATAATTACAGTTCAAAAATAATTTATATGTAAAATTTCTTTATTATTTAAACTGATTTACAATTAAATAGGTTTACAAAAAAAATTTCTAATTAAATAAAAAGGTACTAAACCAAATAAACCAAAAATCTAAACCAAGCTTAACCTAAACAAAGCTTAAAACCTAATGAGAAAAAGATCGGTAGAGTCTTGAGGAAGAAAAGAAAATATACACTCTTGGCCATTGGATTTTCAGTAATTAATGGTCAAAAATACTAATCCATATTTTAAAGAATTGACCAATAAAAAAGAAAGACTTAGTTGGAGGTTAAGACCTTGGTTTTTGTGTTGTTTATTTAGTTATATATATATATATATATATATATATATATATATATATAATATCGGCACAGTTATATATACTTTTTGTCATAGGATGTGTTTTTTTACAACAGAAATAGCTCCACATAAACTAAATTTCGTCTTTGTGGGCAGGTTATTCCTTAACTCATCGGGAACGCATCTACTTTGACCTTACGACAGCAGTAGGCAAAGAGATGTTTGACAATTTAGTATCCCTTATTCTAATTATACAAACGCCTCTTTATTCATGGGAAATTGTGACTAATACCACTTTCCTCATACCACATTTCATCTATACCTTAACCAACTTTACCATTTTAATTTTAATAGGTAAAATACCATTCTATCCCTAATTAATTAAACGGTGAAGAAAGCCACCACCATCTCCATCTCCGTGGCTCTCGAGAAGAAAGCCACCACCATCATCTCCATCTCCTCATGGAGGGTGTGATAAAGTCAATCCAAGGTCTATCCGCCAGTCCCGGCGACTTATCTTCACTCCACCGTCTTCTTAAAGGAGCCGAGGAGACGCTCCGAAGCGAATCGGATCTCCAAATCTGTACTCTTGACCAGCTCGACGCTTCCAAGCATTCTCTCGGTTACCTCTATCTCCTGTGAGTTTTACTCTTACTCTGATTTGTTTGGGTATATATATATATATTACTCTTTGAGCTGATTTGTATTTTTGTTTCGTTGTTTCAGCGATGTTCTCACGTGTGGTCCAATGTCGAAGGAGCAAGTTCTGTTAATTGCTCGATTTTCTCTTTATCTTTTGATGTTATTCTTATAATACTGTATTATTTTTACTTGTGCAGTTTAGTATCAGTCTCCCCAAGTGCGATTCTACATCAGCTCAGAGGAGCTTCAAGAGCTGGTGAACAGTAAGTTTGAACTGTATCCGTTGTATATGTGTCACTTGTCTATGCTATGATATCGTCATATGATGAGTTGTTTTCCCATTTAATGGTGGCTAGTCTCATTTTCAGTTCAATCCAATGAACTCATCTGCTGTGTACCATGTACTAGCTATGTTTATAGATAGCTCATATTTTTTTTATCGTTCACCCTTTTTGTCAGCCTTACACTGAAGTGGGAAATTGCTTCAACGAAGGGAACATCAGGGAACTAGAGGCAGTGGTCGTGGCCAACAGCTCAGATTTTGAAAAGGGAAATTTCCCCTAAACACTCACTTGTCACTGACAGTAATCTTCCTATAGTTTCTGTACTGATATTAATCTTCATTCACCGTATTTTTCAGGACAATAACCTTGGATTAGTAAAGCAAGCTGTGTCATCCCTTTACAAGCGGAACATTCTGATAAATGACTCAGAAGTACTTGACCTTGTCGCTTCAGGATACAGCCAACATGGTCCAACTTGCTAATGCTAAGGAGGCGGAAATGCATGTGCTTCAGATGGTACTGTATTCTGTGTTGTACTCTTGATTTTTGGAAGCTAACCGATATTGAACATTTATCATGTTTTTTCTTACCAAACATGCAGATCCAGGATGGTCAGATACATGCTCTTATCAACCAGAAAGATGGAATGGTCAGATTCTTGGAATGTTAAGAGTGTTGATCACTATGCTCTTTGATGCTAGTTTGAAACAGTGGCATTGACTGTTTCTAGTGCTTTTCATGTTTTGAAAAGTTACCATAATTAAGCAGTTTCTGTTAATATAACGCTGAGGATATAACATTTCTGGACAGAGACTGTCTTCGAACACTTTGAGGAAGATCGTTACAGGCTCTTTGCGGTCGATCTTTTGGGGTTCGGGGAAAGTCCTAAGCCAAGAGATAGTCTCTATACGTTGAGAGATCATGTAGAAACGATAGAGAGATCTGTCATCAAGCCGTACCAGTTAGGTTCATTTCATGTGGTTGCACATTCAATGGGTTGCTTGATTGCTCTTGCTCTGGCTGCTAAACACTCAACCATTGTTAAATCAGTTACTCTTGTCGCACCGGTGAGAGATTAGGTTCTTGTCTTTATCTAATGTTTCAGTCTAATTAGTGAGCTAAATGTGTATTTTAAAATTTCAGCCTTATTTTCCTTCATCACTTGAAGAATCAGTCTTGACTCGAATCGCTGGAAAGCGACTGTGGCCGCCATTAGCGTTTGGTACTGCGGTCATGTCGTGGTATGAACATGTTGGAACCGCTGTTCCTTCTTGGATGCAGTTTGTACACGATTTCCACCAGCATCCCTTCTTATGGTACCGTCTGTTACTTATTATCTCGTGTCCTTTTTACACTAAACTTCTACATACTAAGATTGTGTTCAACTTTCATACTCCTCCATCGCGGTGCTCGCGTTTGTCTTTTCTGTGTTTGATTAATCACTGAGTTATGGCTGTTTGTAGCCACTTCTCACTCTTGCTTGGTTGTGCCCTACCAATATGGATGTCTTCTGGGTTCAATGACCGAGCTTTATCCCCATTTGCCGGGATACTCAGCCTCGGGATTGGAGATACAATGGTAAGCTTTTTGCTTCGCTCCTACTTGCATGCTCAGAGAGTTTAAAAAAAAAAAAAACTCAAGTCTCTTCTAATGTAAAGTTATAACGATTTGCTTTAAACAGGCATCAATGGTTGGTCACAAATATGGGGTGTTAAGATGGAGCAAGACAGGAAGTGAGCATCTTCTATTCTTTCTAAAGTTTTAAACCATTGCTTTCAACAGAAACTAATATTTTGCGGAACAGAGAAAATGGTAGAAGGAACAGCAGCGGGAATAACATCGATGATGGCAGTGTGCTATGTACTGGTCCCAGTAGTAGCATCAATGGGTTATATACTAAGCCAAGGATGGTGGTCGCTTCTTGTTGCGGTTACAGCCACGGGAATGTTGGAAGCTTACACGGTGCAGCTAGACAATGCTTTTATACCTCTGGTCTTCTACTCTCTCCTCTGCTTGTAGAGTACGTTAAGGCTTTTAGTATTTTTTTTATCTCTTAACTTCATGTACATAACAAAGTAAATGTTAGCTACTAACCACACGTCCTCTTCATCTGGCTATCTCGTTTAATATAATGGTTTCTGAAACTGTTGAGAATAATAGTAGTGTGAGATGTTTAAGTTTAATAAGAAGAGTCACTACAGCAACAAAAGTGCTAGGAAGAAGAACAATAAGATCATATACATTTACACTACAACATAAGGCAAGAATCCATAACCAAACCAAACTCCTCACTATTTCTTGTCTTCTTCTATAGCATCACTCACAGTTTTCACAGTATCCTCAGGTGTTTCAAAGAAGAAGTTCTTATCACATAGAGTGAACTAGATGTTGGAGCAGCAAGTGGAGTCCCACAGAGGCAACAAACTTGGGAGAGATGACTTTGGAGGAGTTCTTGGTCAGAGCTGGTGTGGTTAGGGAAGAACTATCCGTAGATTCTACATGCTAGTGTGGTTGTTCAGCTTTGCAACTGTGGTCAAGTTTATAAGGATTTAATTAGCTATAAACATTTATAAACGCTTATAAATTATTTGTAAGAGTTTTAAATCATCTAAAATATTTTACTATGCTATAAATGTTTATACATCATTTTGTATTGATTTATAAATCCATTATAAATATTTAAAATGAGTCTTATATATAATTTATAAACTTTTAAAATAATGTTTATAATTTATAAAGCCTTATAAAAAACTAATAATAATTTAAAAATGATTTTATAAATATTTATAAATGATCTATAAACCATTATAAATGATTTAGAAACCATTATAAATGATTTATAAACCCTTATAAATGATTTATAAACTCTTATAAATGATTTATAAGCCTTTATAAACTGTTTTAAGACTTTATAATTGAATTATCTTTAGAATTTTTACAAATCCTTATAAATAATTTTATAAACCCTTATAAGTAATTTTATATATTCTTATAATGATTTATTGATTATTATAAAAAAATTTCTATGTATTCTTATAATCTGTTTATAAAAAAGATTTAAAAGGGTCTATAAATGATACAAACCCTTTTAAATTCTTAAAAATGAAATACCAAATTTTTGCACATTTAAAAAATTTTATTAATTAATTTATAAGGGTTTATAAATGTATTTATTAGAATTTATAAATTGATTTATAAGGATTTATAATTGCATTTATAATGGTTTATAAATGGATTTACAAGTGTCTATAAACTAATTTATAAATGTTTATAAACTGAAATAGAATAAACTGAATTTTTTCTGTGTTATAAAATGATTTATAAAAGTTNGGTTTATAAATGGATTTACAAGTGTCTATAAACTAATTTATAAATGTTTATAAACTGAAATAGAATAAACTGAATTTTTTCTGTGTTATAAAATGATTTATAAAAGTTTATAGTTTGACTTGCAATGCTTTAAATCATCTTGTAAGGGTTTATAAGAGTTTTTTTGTTTATGTTCATGGCTTTATAAGAGTTGATCAATAAAATAGTACATTGTATCTAGAATTCAAGCAAAGAAACATGTTGTTTTGATGTTCTCATTGTGCTTTCATTGTTTAAATTATGAATTAAGTAAAGAGTCCATATCAATTCTTTGGTTCTAAGATTGGTTACATCTTATGGCGTGTTTTTATGTATTGAATTATATTTGTTTAAATAGAAATTTTTGAAATTTTGTTATGATCATTATAAAATTTATGAACTCTGGACCATTTATTCTTGTTTATTTGGATTTTTGTTTACAATGTTTCTTTGTGATCAGTTTATAAAACTAATAGGAACTGAGTTTTACAAGCCCAAACTTTGTTGGAACTAGATTCAAGTGATTTATAAAACCTTATAAATTAGTTTATAAATATTTATAATTAAGTTATCTAATTCGGTAGATGTTTTATAAAGTATTATAAATCAATTTATCATCCCTTATGAATCAATTTATACACTCTTATAAATCAAAATATAATCTCTTATAAAATAGTTTATAAAATTTCATAAATCAGTTCACGAACTCTTATAAGCCTTTATAAATGATATATAAGCTTTTATATATAATATATTAACTCTTGCAAATGTTTTATAAACCCTTATAAATTATTTATAAATTCTTAGTAATTATTTTTAAATTCTTACTATTAAACATATATCCATGATGCTTTTAAAAATTTTGTTTTAAGTAATTAAATGGTTTTGTACGCCCTTATATTTTTGTATAAACTCTTACAATTCTTAAAATGATTATATAAATTCTTACAAAATGATTTATAAACTCTTATGAATTGATTTATAAATCCTTATATGTTTTTTGTAAACTCTTATAAATTAATTTATAAGCGCTTATAAATAAAGGGGACTTATGAGAAATGTTTTAATATGATTTGTAATCCATACAAATTATTTTATTAACCCTTATAAATGATTTAATTAACCCTTAAATGATTTATAAAATCTACAAAATGTTGATTTAGTTTATAAAATGTTTATTAAAAATCCGCGCTCTAGCCTTGTCATAGTCTTCTTTCCTCTCTTCAACACTCCTAAGAGGACCACGTTTCTTTTCAACTTCACCAGCGTCATATCCAGATCCTTTAGAAGGTCGAGTCTTGATGGAAACTTTCATGTGCTCAAACTTACCATTCTCTGACTGTTTAGCCGCAGGGATATCAGACAACCTAACCGCATGAAACCTGCTCGCCGCTGTTTTGCCACAAGGATTTTGTTCTCATTGCCATCAACACCACCGTCTTGAACCAAAGTAGCTAGTCCATAGTGGTTAGCAACACGGTGAGCGGCAAGGCGGAGATACGAAGTAGGAAAATGCTGGAACTCGAACTGCTGCTGCTCATGGCTCTGTAAGAACTTTTGAACATCAAGCTCCATATCCGCAAAACTATTACAACAAGAAAAACAAAAAAGGCTTTAGACACATAAGAACAACACAAACGCCAAGCTAGGTACTATAACTCAAACAACACTCATAGTGGAAAACCAACTTCATGAATCATACCCATACATAAAGTTTACTCCTTTGGTAACATCAACCATGGCTTTACAGTACAATGGTAATGGGCATCTCCATAAACGCAAATCTAAGAAGAGAGCCGATTCAAAGAAGTAGCTACATACACATCAAAATCACCCAAATTGATCTAACTATCCAAAGATCTAAGCTAAAGCTGAGCAACAAAATCAACTTCATGAATCATACCCACACAATAAAGTTTACTACTTTGATAACACCAACCATGGTGTTATTAAATAAATGCTATTGAACCAAAAAAAAAAAAACATCACGAGTGCTACAACTAAACTTCACATAAGCATTCTTCCCAGCGATTGTTTACATAACACTCTGCAGCCTCGAAAATCTACTTGACCTGCATCCACAAAACCACTTCTTAGTCAATACATCCCCTTTATATAAAGTTTCAATCCTTATATCAAATCAGCTTCCATGCAATTGCAAGCAATTAAAAATTCAAACCACACCTGTTAAACACAACGGAGGCGGGGGAGCGGGGCAGGTGACGAGGCGGAGGAGCGGGGCAGGTGACGAGGCGGTGATCTAAAGTTTCTGTCGGCGGAATCGACGCGTGAGATGAAGGATTGGACGAAATTGATGCTGAAGAAGCTGAGGAGGCCAGATGAAGGAGGCGATGAGGGCGACGATGGCGTCGAGTTCGGTGATGGTGACGACGTGGAGAGGGATGTTGTAATGAATCTTGTCGTGCCATCTGTGGAGGAGATAGTAGACTACGAGAAAAAGAGGACGAAGAAGACGGCGTCGGTGAGGTAGGGTGGGAGTAGGACATTTAGGTCATTTACCCACTAATGATCTAGGTATTTATGAAAATGTCCCTTGAATGGTGGTAAAGTTAAATTGTGGTACAACAAAAATGGTATTTTTGCAATTGTCCCTTTATTCATCCACATAAAATATATTTACGCGAACTAAAAGATTCAAGGAATTACAGCCAATTTAGTGTTTAAATTATTATTATTATTAGTACTGTACAAACAAAAGAGAATATGTCTATATGCACGTATCATCTGTGCATTTAACATTAACATGTGTGTTGACAACCCAATGTGTGGTGGATGTTTTAACTGATGTTGAAGATGATAAAGATAAATTGGATGTCTTAAAACGTTTTTAAAAAGGAATTAACAAAATTAGAGTATCTAATTACCATAGTGTTGTTTGTATCAGGATGGAGGAGAGACCATATTTGTTTTTTATACCCATTGCAGACAAATTATTGTTATAATTTCTATAATTAGGCAACCCAAATGTTTCAGGCTGTGTTTCAGCTATGTATAGCTATATGGTGTCAATTAGAGCATGGGATGGATGGAGGACAAAATGAGGTTGTAATGAATGCTACAATACTGCCAGTTGGTGTGAGTGAAATGTGAGATATAGCAGGGGTTTCAATGAGCAGCGTCTTCACGTAAATAGTTGTGAGAAAAGATACGAGATTAAATAATTTTAACAATAAAGGTGAAGAAGCAGAATTTTACCAGTGACCACAAAATAGATAAATAATTTTCTCCAGTCATATACTCCAATCTAAAAACATTCAGAATTCAGACCACTATTATTACTATGCACACGTACATATGGGATCACTTCATAACATTCAGAACTCAGACCACATTATTACTATGCACACGTACATATGGGATCACTTCATAGCAGGCCCGTCTCAGAGGAATTTAGGGCCCAGTGCTGGACCAAAATTTTTTTAAAGATCTTCTTAAGATGTATAACCATTAAAATAATTGGGCCCTATTTGGCAGTATTTTAAAATTTTAGGACCCTATTTTGTAGTGTTTTTAAAAATTTAGGGCCCTAAATTCTATAGAAAATTAGTGAAATTATAATTGGGCCCTGTGCTTTTGCACTCTCTGCACACCCTCAAAACCGGGCCTGCTTCATAGCAAACTTCAAAATGAACTGTTAAGGACGGGTTATCTCTTCATATGTATATTTCTCTAAACCTCTTAGTTACCAAGAAATAAATATTTATAAAAATAAAATAAATATATAAACCCTAAATTATAATTTCTGAACCTTAGATTCTAAATCCAATACACTAAACACTAAACCCTAAACCATAACACATTAAATCTTAAACTTTAAACACTAAACATTGAATCATAAACAATAAACTAGATTTTGACCCGCGCAACCGCGCGGGTGTTTGTTTTCGTTTATAGTTAGTTATATAAAAATTTTGTTTTCACTTGTAAATTGGTATATATTATAATAATCATATATTTACAATATGTATAGTAAATATTTTCAAACATAATAATATTATATAATACGTTTTTTAATCAAATATATTATACATATTTTTCAAACATGTGTTTGTTTCCTTTTCTATAGTTTATTGTTTGTTAGATTAGTATTTTATTTTTAGATAAAGTAATATAAATAGAGCTTGATTAAATATTAATATACTTTAATTTGCAAAGATAATATAAACTTCGAAGAAGTTTTTGCTAAAAACTAAACTTATAACTTCATAAATTAATATTATAAAGAATTTTATTAAAAAGAAGTTTTTTAAAAATTTCTTTTTTAAAAAAAAATATAATTTTAAAATTTTACATAGAAATAAATTTATCTAGTATATATAACGTGTAAATTTTGTTAGGGTATATAAATATTCCATATTACTTGCGCGGTGTTTGTTTTCGTTTATAGTTAGTTATATAAACATTTTGTTTTCACTTGTAAATTGGTATATATTATAATAATCATATATTTACAATATGTATAGTAAATATTTTCAAACATAATAATATTATATAATACGTGTTTTAATCAAATATATTATACATATTTTTCAAACATGTGTTTGTTTCCTTTTCTATAGTTTATTGTTTGTTAGATTAGTATTTCATTTTTAGATAAAGTAATATAAATAGAGCTTGATTAAATATTAATATACTTTAATTTGCAAAGATAATATAAACTTCGAAGAAGTTTTTGCTAAAAACTAAACTTATAACCTCATAAGTTAATATTATAAAGAATTTTATTAAAAGGAATTTTTTAAAAAATTTCTTTTTTTTTAAACAATATAATTTTAAAATTTTACATAGATATAAATTTATTTAGTATATATAACGTGTAAATTTTGTTAGGGTATATAAATATTCCATATTACGAATCTGTGATTTTTGTTAATATATTATGGATGCATTTAACTATTATTGACATATTTCCTTATAAATAATAGAAGATTCCTAAACTTATATCTATTGACATATTTTGCGTGACTAAGTTGGAAGGTGTGGGGTAATTTACCAAAACCAATTGTTAAGCGTATCTTTGTTATTATAGATATGATTTTTCATAAGATATAATAACGATAAGATTATTAGATGTAACATGACTTTCTAGTAATAGTCCATTTTTTAAAAAATCACACATGAAGTCAAGTCATGACTTCTGTTTTAATATATAAGATTTAAAAACGCATTTGAATTGTTTGAACTGCGTTTTAAGAAAGAGATAATTGGCTAAAGTACCCTATTTGACACCTATAATTAGTGCATTGCCCATGATGTGACAATCACTTTTCTTTGGACCATTTTGCCCTTCTCTACACTCTCTTTCCTCTCTTTGACATTTCCCTTTTTTTTTTCTCTTCAATCCCTAATTATTTTCCAAATCTCTATCATTCTAAATACAATTAAATTTTAAATTTCATTATTTTTTCATAAGTGGCTTTGAATCCTCAATTTTGACCCTTTTTTTTTCTCTCCAATCCCTAATTATTTTACAAATCTCTATCATTCTATATACAATTAAATTTTAAATTTCATTATTTTTTTCATAAGTGGCTTTGAATCCTCAATTTTTTGATGATATCAATTTTCTGGGTTTTAGATTCGACGTCGTGTTAGCGGTTAACAAATATTGTAGACGTTAACAGAAGTGTTAGTTGTTA